ATAATCTCGAAGTGAAAACGTGCAAGTGTATTTCTCCTGAAAAAAGGGAAAACCACGATCTTGTGATACGCACCGTATCAGAACACTAAATTTCGTAACAGTATTAATATTCGTTGCACCTACGTTTTTAATTTCTTACTCCGAACGCTTCCTAAATAACATAAAGAGCAAAACTGCGTCAAATCTAGCGGTCATTCAAATTAGCAGGCATGAATAACCAAGAAGGACATTGTACAGTGTAAAAGCAAAGTAAGCAATTATTGGGAAATATATTTAATGTGTTTATATAAACATGTTATTTAATATCTTAACTAATTTTTGCTAAAGCACTAGCACGTCGATCAGTGTTTTGAAATAATGCCCGAATTAAATGACGTATTTCATCAACCTTATAATGAGCTGTTAAAATGCCTGCTCCGTCACACCATTGTTCAGTGATTTCTTGCAATGAAGCATTCAAAATCATTTTTAATTGACGTAATTTCATCCAGCAAGGAACACATAAAACCTCATGCTTTTCCTAAACATGTGACATATGAAAAAAAAAAACGTTTAACATAATAAGATTGTCACCTTAAATAATGTTGGAGATACGTTTAGAATAACTTCGATAAGCTCACTTAACTCATTAGCAACCGTAGTTGATATGTCTTCAAGCAACAACACACGTTTCATAATGTCCAGACAAAAATCATTCAATAGATCGCAGAATGTTTGTTTATACGTGCTGTCCGGTAAAACATTACGCCAAACGTTCTTCAATACATCCAATTGACGCAGGCATTGACGTGTAAGTTTAAAGGGACGGGAACCAATGGAATGTGGATCGCTTATATCTGCAAGAATGCCACAAACCATTAAAAAATAAACAAATTATTCGAAAACATGTCGATAAAATCAATTAACCAAATTCACGTAGAATTGTTGCTAGAATCTTTTGTTGATATATAATCTGCGCCTTAAAGATATTCGTGCCAGTTGCATGCAAAGTATTCACCAAAGCCGGATGAGTGGGTATACAAGCGTCGGCATTTTTCGCTACCCAGTGAGCTAAGAACATGCAATTGTTGAAAAATAAGACAGATTGTTGCGGAATGCTTTCCAGAAGATTTTTGTGAGTTTTTGGCACTTCGTTAATGTAAGTATTTAATATGACGGGTATAACTGCTAAAAGCTCCGGTTCTTCTTCCTCTTCTTCCGCACTGTTATTTAATTGCTTCAATATATGTTCCATAAGTTTTATTAAATCCTGTTCGAATTTTTTTTTATTTTTCTTTGCAATTCAATTTCTCCTTAGAAATATTTTTGTTGAAATGCTTACCAAAGTACATTTTGAGATCATGCATTGCGGAAATAGAAAGGGATTTTTTACCACATCCTCGGCTGTAATGCCTTCAGCTACGACGGTCATGTCTTGTAAATCCTTATGCATTATTTCTCTGGCAGTTTCTAACACTTTCTTATTGAATCTATTACGAAATAATTGCTCGAATTTTTTTGTAAAGTTAGTTAGTGTACAATCCATTTCGGCATGAATAAAGAAATTATCGACCAATGTTTGCTCAAATCTTAAAACATCCTGCACTAGTGTCGATTTATGATATTCATCCATAGTCGCTGGTATAGAATCCATTAAACATTCGTCAACAATTAGCTTTAAGAGGCGATCCTTGATTTGGCCACCAATAATGGTGAAAACATGTTGTTCAGCAAATACATTAACATTTATATTTGTCAAACAATCGAGCAACATTTGTATATTAGCAAATACTTCCTTATAAGACGGCTTTAAGCTTTTCAGTAACTCTTTAAGAGAATATGAAATATTAAGTTGTGTATATTCTTCATTATCATTCAATAATTCAACTGAAACTGGCTTCACTACCATTGGCATAAGGCAATTTTCCAAAAGAAAATCGCATATTTTCAAGGGATTATAACGGGCCTTGATTTATGAAAAAGAAAAATTTTATTATACAAAAGGTTTTTAAGAAAAATCGTTGCAATAATAACCTGAAAGAGAGCCATCACAATATCCTGCAATTGTCCCACATCTTTAGATACTTGAACAGTAACGTGTTTAGTGGTTGGAAAATTTTTCTCTGATAGTTGCAGTAAACGTTCAAATTTATGTTGCAGATTTTGTTGAAGAATGTTGGCTTGCACATGATATTTTATTTTAATCGTATCATAGCACGCACATTTCTGAAAAATACGATCTACTTCACATGTAGCTTCACGGCATATTAAACATTTTAGTTTTCCCAATAAATCCAACACCATCAAATAATCTTTAGTAGCGTTTGCTTCTTCAACGCACTGAAAAAAATCATCAATTTTTAGTATACGATGAGAAACTTTCAAACCTAATGATATTTCACGTAATTCCTCTATACACTGAGTTAATTCGGCGTTTGCTTCATTTAAGTCTAAACGGGTATCGCTGCTCACATTACTTAATAAATGTTCAGTATCGCGCAATAAATGTTCTCCTTCCTCAATGTACCTATTAAAACGAGAAATCGAAGTCAATATCCTGTTAAAACGAGAAATACATACGTACATATCCGAGGTAGTGTGATTTGGCATAAAATCGACATAATTATCTTCAATATGTTTATGTATCCGTTCCTGAAAACGCCGGATTTGCTGCAAGATATGAACTACACCCGCTTTTGTGTCTTCTATAGTGTCAAAACCGGCACTTAACTCCTTTATAACACTTCCATCTAAACCAACCACCATGATTTTTCTCAAATAAAGAAGGCACTATGTGACTATAAACTGTGGAAGGACGAAACCATTAAGCTACTTTTCTTTTTAAATACAATTAAATGAACATCAGAGATGGATTGTTTTACAGGAACAGAAGTGTTATCGTATCGTGGAAATCTGTATGTGGAATGTATTCTTCTGGCGGGTAATTACGTAAGCAGACGATTATCGCCTCTTTTTCTTAGGAGACAGTTGATTGTCGCCTTTGACCACATGTTTTTCTTTTCTTCACAATTCGCAAATTTAATTTCGGACACATATAATTTTTTTAAATATTATTAAATTTTTTAATTAATAGTTAATTTGCTAATAGCCGTTTATAGTTTTCTTTTGTTTTTGACAAAATCCAACTCTAAACGAGAGATTTGTGGAAATTATTGTCGCCAGTTGTGATGTAGAAGTATGATTAATAATAATTTCTTTATTTCTTAAATAAGGCAGGCAAATGAAGCAACGGAGAAATTCTATGCGCATAAATCGACAAGAGAGACGGATACCATTATAAAAGTATATGTTTTTCTCCCTGCGTTTAACGCTTTGAAATCAAGCATAAACGAGCACTTGAAAAAATGCAACACCTTTTTGGCTAAAAATTACTTCTAAAAGCCATGAATATATAAATTATGGTGAGGTGACATTATATTTTCTCGCAAAAGAATATGTAAGTGCTTACAAATAATGTTTTTGTTACAAATTTAGCTGCAATCGATTCGCATTCCAAAATGTTCTAATAAAGCATTCATATGTACGCTAGCCTGAAAAATGATGCAATTCCATTATGAGAAATAACTTAATTTTGAATAATTCTCATGTTAGAGGAAATGTCTCACAAATCCAACAACTGGCCTTACCTCTTTATATTTTACTAGTGTTTTTCATAAAAATTCAACTGGCATGCTTTCTCTCTTTATATTTAACTAGTGTTTTTCATACAAATTCAACTGGCATGCTTTCTCTCTTTATATTTTACTGTTGTTTTTCATACAAATTCAACTGGCATTCTTTCTCTCTTTATATTTTTTAATTTCCCAAAGATCCTTTTTTCTAAATTCGTTTTATTAATCTATTGCCGAATATTTGAATTTTTTCTATCAGCCACTTGCCGATTGTCATTTGTGTAATTGTCGCCAACAGCGTAATCGTTAATCAATACTCGAGAGGATTAATTGAAAGGAATATATCTAGAAACATATGAATATAATAAAGACTTTCATCTGTATTTATGATAGAATAAAATACTAATAAATTTTTATTCAGTTTCATTTGATTGAAAAAAAGCAAGCAAGTGGTTTAAGTAGGTTCAATTAAAAAAATAAGTAAAAACATTACGGTCAGACGAGCTATTAAATACCCTATACAAAATCGGTTGCGATAATGCAATTCTTTCCTCCAGCTAAAGACGCATTTTTCATGGGAAGCGGCTTAACACGTAGACGTGGTTCAAATTTAGCAAAATCAATTTTCTAAAGAGATCTAATGATTCGCTTTATCGCTTTTGGGGCAATAATTGTTCTTCGATTTGTTTTCCATAAATACTCCCGACCATAAATATCCCAGATGAAATGTCTTTCTATTAAATATGTATAGAAAAAAAGTAACTGAAATATGTCCTTAAAAGTGGACATTCACTTAAAAACATTGTCTTAAATGGTTTCAAAAAATCATTATAAATCGATTGGTAAACTGAAGGTGAATTAGGCTCACATAGAGTGCTGTTAGTCCTTGTAAAGGAACCTACAGCACAATTGGTTTTAATGGACATAAGGAGAATTCTTCACTTAAGAAGGGATTCGCTTGCAACCTGGATCTGTTCTTGTAGCGGGTGTACTGCTGTGCTAGCTGTGTACATGCTTTTTTTTATTTTTTTAAATTATTTTTTTTTCTCTCTCTTTTTATTTATTTACAAATGAATTATTATTTTTAACTTCTTAATTTATTTTTAACTGACTGTGTTATTATTATTCTTCTTTTTATCTTCCTTTTTAGTGCATCCTAGTTTTTAAAAAAATTCGTATAAGATTTTCTCTTAAGATGCTCTGAATTCGACTGTAAATTTCTTTAGTTGAATTTCATGTGTAAAATGGTAAAATATATGACCAGCAAGAGGAAGAATTATGCCGTTTAACTTTCCGCGTGAAATTCTTTTACTGTGAGCATGTAAACATGCGTCAGTGCGTTTGTGTTCATATCCCGCAATTTGATATGCTTGTCTTTTCTAGCAAACAGAAGCAGGTTTTGTTTTGTATTTTCTATGCATGTATACTTGGTGTGTATATATATATTTGTACATACATATATTTTTCATAAAGTTGGCTAGGTAGGCTAGGTAATCGCCATATGCGTGCAAACATTTGTGTGCACGTATGTGTCTTATAAACATAAATATGCATACATATATATGGCCATGAAGCAGTTTAGACACTCACTCACGAAGCACATTTTCTACACACATGTGCGTCGCAGTTCATGTCTCTTTTGAATGAGATTAGAAACCGTTGAACATGTGAATATCAGAACAGGGATTCAGTAAATTCAGAAAGCAACGAAATTCTTCTAATGTTCAACAAATGCAAAAACAAACAAAACAAGTTAGAGAAATAGCAAGAAAAAAATAATAATAATAAAAATAAACAAATAAAATTATATAAAATACTAATAATAAAAAAAAATAAAACAAAAACATATATTAAAAATATTGTCTTCAGGTTTCAGTCGGATATGAGACACTCAACATTCGCTTATCTATCACATGGCTTTGTTCTAAAGAAAAAAGGAAACGAAAAAATTTACTTATTTACTTAGTAACTAAGCAAAAGATAACATTTTTATGCTAACTGCAGTTCTTTTTATTATGGTTTTTTTTGTGCTTAAGATTTAGCTTACAATTTGGGTTTTTTTGTACAAACGCTTAGTTCGCATGTTTTCCGGATTACTCTCGTCGTCAATCGGAGCGGTCCGACGTATTGCTACTCGAATGCATTCATTCTACCAATTATTTTAAATCCATGCGTACTTCTAGGGGATACAGACGGATTTTATTGTACGTCCGACGATGCTTAAATGGAGGCACCGGACAATGACGGACTAAGGAGACAGGGTTCCAGAAGCTAAAAATGTACGTTGGGTCCATTGTTTCATACCTACCTAAACAATCCCAAGGAAAAAGAAAACTCTCTCTGAAAAAAATTTTTTTTTCTTTACGTTAACTTGATGAAATAAAAGAAAAAGATAAAATAAAAGAGCAGACTTTACAAAGAAACTATAGAACTTTAAGAGAATCGCAGTAAAATGTTATTCCGAAGTAAATCTCATTTACATATTATTCGATGGCTTATGGGACGAGTATTCACAATTTTCATATCAAAAGCTTCAAGATAAGTAGAATTAAAATTCTAAAGAATGGTTGTGTTATCAAAAAGGTTAAGATAATAATTTTTTTCTTTCAAACGTTTGAAATGAAAACAAGCAAAACACTGTACGGTCCTACACTGTCCTAAAGTTATTAATATATAGCGACCGATTCGAACCATTTTTAATAGTGTTCGTCCTTAGCCGAAATTTTATCAGAATATCTTAGTAACTGTAGCCTGTAAGAGAACAAACAGACATGCTTAAATCAATCCAGAAAATGACTCCGAATTAGTCAGTATAATAAAAGAAGTGTGTATCTTAAGTCTTTTTGGGTGTTGCCTACATGCGCATAAACTTAATACTCTAAATAAAATTTTTTTTCTTCAAACCGCTAATTTCAAATTCAAACTTCGTTAGAGAACTCTACAAAATCTACAACTGAAAGCAAAAAGAAAGGGCAAACGATTGTTAAATGAATAAAGATGATTCAAAAAGTAAAGAAAACAATTATAAATAAATTTTTCTATAGACGAGATAATGGGGAATCCAAAGCGCAAAAGAATTGTAGATGACCTTGTTCTAAAACCAAAGGGGTTTCAAAAAAAAATTCTTCCAAAGAATTCCAAATAATTTCCTTTACAGTGTGGTCACAAATCCAAGGTTTCGAACAATTCTCTTATAAGAAGACACATGACCTCAAACCTCTTAGATTTGGAAAGTTTGCGACGCTTATTTAATATTATAGTGTATCAAAGTTTAATTTTTCTTCTATACCTTTGTAAGGCGCAGGAACAAACTTCATAAACTCTACAGGGTATATAAATTCTTGGCCAGTTTCAAATTTGGAATGCACTTAAACATGTCCGTCCATTCATCTGTCGAGCTCTCTGTCTGAGCAACTGTGTAGTATCTGTGCTGAATATTCTCCCGTTAGCAAAAATGAAGATATCGCAAATTTTAAAATGACTCAACCCAGACAAAGGGCACGCCATTGTGAACACCTTAGCTTTGCATATTTTTCGCTTGCTACTCATTAAGTACAATAAACACATGGTGTAAATTCTCACTTTTCTCCGAAAATATAAAAAAATCAGCTGGGCCCAATCAATGTTGTAGAGTATGAACTTTTTTTTTTAAATTTGTGATGGTTATTCGAGCACGACTAAATATAATTTTCTAATTTGTTATTAGGTCGGATTAAAACAGAATACATAAAAACTGAAGTTTCAAACCAACGATTTTTAATTCAAGAACGAAATATTTAAAAAAATATTCGTGATTTAAGTTTTCAGTATATTTCTCAATGTGTCTCAAAGCGCTTCTTCCAATTCAGTTTTTAACCGCTTCTTCCACTAATTGGAGATATGTTTCGTTTATAACGAGAGTTTACTTATCATGTTTTCAAGGCGTTTTCTAGTGGCTCTCGCACAGATGTAATATACACTGATTTAAGCAAAACGTTTGATTTGGTTAATCATAACTTACTTATCTTTAAACTCCAAGCCTCTGGCTTCCCTTTCTAGTGAAATGGATAAACTCTTATCTGCACAATAGATCCTTCAGGGTTTTTTTTAACTTCATTACCTCGGATGAATTCGCCGCTTACGTCCCATTTTATTTAGTTTATACATTAATGGTCTCCCATTGGTCACTAATTCCAGTAAGATCTTAATGATGATGTGAAACTGTTTTCTTCGTTCTCTCTAGCATCGAAATCACATCAGCTTGAAAGTGACTTGAATAATTTGGTTGTATGGCGCTCTTCGAATCTTCTGAAACTAAATCTAAATAAATGTAAG